CATGCTACCCAGCGAGAATTTCTGTGTGTTTGCATCCAGTCGCATCTTTCCATGTACTTTATATGCAATTGTGCTCAATCTGTTTAATCACACAGTGTTGGCCTTGGAAACTATTTGTCCTAAGTGTGTGTGTCCTAACACACATTTTCAAATGTAAATACTACAATCCAAATTATTCAACACTCCAGTGAAATGACAGTTCCTTGTGCAGTGATCAGACTTATTGACAAAAAGACAAATGACGACTTCAGCTGAGACTTATTTCCATTAGCAGTCATTCATCATCAGCAGCAGCCATGTGCTTGGAAATGTGCAAAAAGGCTAGAAAAGCCTGACATCTCTGGGAGTGTGGGCCATCGACTGGCGTTTTGTTGGAATCCAATAATTATGCTGCCTGCGTTCAATCCCCAACTGCAACAAATACTACCATCTCTCAGTTACCTCTTCTCCTGGTGATACAAAGCCAGGGAACGCACACAAATACGCACACATACAGACATGATTACCTAATAGACTCCGGGGAGGATAATTGCATAAAGTAATCGATACCACCTCATTAGGAGAACTGTTTCGCCTAAAAGGTCAATCTCACCCCCCATCAGAGTCCTGTCATTGCATATATTAAGAGGAAAACATCATTTTGCTTCATTGACAAAATAGGTTTATCCAAGAACACCTCAGGAAGACGACATATCAAACTAAGGGAGATTACAGTAAAGTTTGGCTAACTAACTTCCATGAAATGGCAGTAAAGCTGCCCTGATGGCTCTGTTTTGTTGCTGCTGCAAGCTCTTAACGCTTATAATCAACCTGCACAAACTTTACATTCAGACTGGAGGAACCTGTGAAGACTTCAGTCATAACACAATGGGGGGTTAAAAGATTTTGTATGTGATGCTTAGAGCATAGGATGACCTTAACACTAACTTCTCTTTTCAGAAACAATATCTCCATTACTGCTACAGTTTTCACCTGAAATACTTTCCAATAAACAAAAAGTCCAAAATTCTCAAAACCAAGTAAAACTAAAATTCCCATATTGTAAGAGAAATATTTTGTAATTTGGGTGATCTGACCCTTTACAGTATTCTGAAACTGAGGGATGAAAAAGCTGACAAAGTCCCTTAGGGTCTGTCACATTGCAATTTCAATTTCGCTTCTGTTGTTTTCAATGAGCTTGGCATTTTTCCCCTTCTCAAGTTACATAATTGGGCTACTGTAACAAGTGTTCTGCTTAACTATGTCATAACATAGGTCCATTTAGGCTAGGATAAATGTCTACACTGTTCACAGGTGTTCAACACTAACTTTGCTCTTTGGCTGAGGAGCTCAACTTGTTGTCAAAATGTTGTAATCAAAATGGTAGCCTAATGTTAGTAACGTTAAACGAGTAGCCCCAAGGCCCCAACATCAGTACTGTTAGGCTATACAAGTGGAACTTGGAATAACAAGTATGCTAGCTAAAGTTAGTGTGGTGTACAATATATGTGCATTTGACGCACACCACATTAGACACATGAAAATAATGTTAACCCCCTATCCTACATCTAAATTGTGATGGCTAGAGTTAGAAGTTAGAAGTCATAAACTGACCTAGCAGAGACAGCACTCTTCAGTCTTTACTTTTCTCAGGTGCATGTGCCATGCACAAAAGCCAGGAAATCTTTTTCTGGAAAACTCAGAAGGCGTGATACTCATTTCATTCTCCCGGACTCTGTCCTCGCACACCCAGACCACCACACACCCAATTTAGAGACTCATAGGATCCACACAAATGACCAGTTTTGAATTTAAAACTACAGTTTTCGCTGTAAGGTAACAAGCTTGCTCCCCTGTAGTCTGTAACCATCTCTGGTGATTAGAATGACTATCCCTGAAACAAAAGCTCTCAGATTATTTCCATCAGCAGACAGAAATCCTGCAGAAATGGCTCTCAACACAACCCTGAACCTCCCGACTGTTTTCTCACTGTAGGGGTGCGTTCACACCATGATTGTTTATTATCTCTTATGCAATAGCCTGCGGGGAGTCTATTAGTCAATGCGACTCAGCAGTTAAATCCAGATTTACTCTTGTTAACACTACAGCGCTTGGTTTGTTGTTTGACTGGTGAGAACTCGCCCTATTCACTCTGTGGTCAAATTAGAATGGAAACATTTGAAAAATGGATCTTCCAGTAAACCAAAACTCTGTCGAACAACTGAACTGCTTCATCTGACCTCCTCAGAAGCCCAGTTAAACCTCTAAGTCCATGTTCTCCAGAAATGTCCTTCTTCCAATGATATGTTCCCAGAGTAATGAGGCAGCAAAACACCAGTAATACCTCAAACCGGTCTTCCCCTGGTGTACTCTATATTCCTATGAACTATTTCTGCAGTCAAGGTGCTCCAAAGGGGATCATCTGATCTATAGAGGAGACATGTGAAGGGATGTTTTCTATCAATTTAAGTATGACATAATGTTCAACAGCCATTATTGCATACTGTGTACTGTACTGGACGAACATTATTTGAGGGGTGATTACTGGATTACGTCCTAGTCAACTCACTGCCGGTTGTACAGAGTGGACAAAACAAAATAAACACCTTTCCTCTAGTAAAAAGCACTCAGCAAGTGGGTGACTTCACCAAGGCTGCTCAATCCTCTAAATATTTATACAGGATCACTATTTTCTATTAACTATCTAATTAACTATGTAACTTGGTACAAATTATAGGAAAAACAAGAGACAATAATAAAGTATTAATTTATTATTGGAAATGTTATTATTCTTGCCAAATTGACATCTTTTGGATACTGAGCTGACATGCTATGCATTGACTGAAAGGTTACACTAAGAAATTAATTTAATACATTTTATTACATTAGAATCAACACTGCCTCTATTTCAACTATACTTAGTACCAAATTTCATAGTTCTCTGCAAGAATCTTGCTACGAAATGAGCTGAAAATTATAAGAAATGTGTGTGTTACCAATATTTCAAAATAAGGAAAGTTTTAGACATGAATACTTTGTCTACAGTAGAAGAAGCTGGTACCATGACAGAAATATGTTAATTAACATTTTGTAATGTTTACGGCATCTTTTTTCAACATGTTGGCATGTTTTTACCACCATAGACAAGTTTTTAACTTTTTTAGAACTGCCAGCGTATATTTCAATTTAGCTTTTTTAATGTACAAATAGGTCAGGACAGGATTGGCTAATCCACTGCATGGTAACCAGACCTGGATGCATATCACGGCAAAGTGAATGGCGTTGTTATGCCTTTGTGCTGTGCTTTATTGGAGGGACTTTATTGGAGTGTGTGGTCTTCATCACCTCATGATGTTGTGCATTGCATCACCCTGTGTATCAAAACAATGAACATATTGTCACTTGCCGAAGACTGTAGCTTTAATTGGTTGGATCTCTCTTTACTAAATGAAAAAAATAATTTATACTGATCTTTTCATTGCAACTCCCAGTGAGGCAGCAGGAGCTGTATTTCTCAAAATGTAGTATTCCTTTAAGATATCTTTGGTCGATGGCTGAACCTTCCACCAGTTTATTCTTTTTGAGACATTCTAATAGACAAACAAGTGGGCCTGAAGATATAACGTCCATGGTGGAAGTAATGCAATCCAATGACAACGCTCTGAAAATGGTCTATAGAGCTGACTTCACCTGGCACAGTCCCAACCTGTCTGCTCCTCGTGCACCACCCCTAGTGATTGTATATGGAGTATTTTAAAACATTCACCAGTGAGACACTTGTATCATATTTTCATTTTATTCCTAGTATAAGAGACATACAATGATATTCTGTGAGACAAAAGTCATAGTAATTCAAGAGACGTCGCCTGGAAATCAAACAAAAAATCCCCCATAATACTGAACCAATGAGACCCCGCCCAGATACAATGTATTTACACCAACTCAAATACTGATTATTAGAGCTATTAGATACGAGACCGCTCCCTTTCTTATACAATCTGTCACCGGCCGATAAAAAAACAAACAAAAAAAACCCGCTTTCACCCATCACACACCAAATTGCCCCTCGGGGATAATAAAGTTACCTTGTACCTGTAGCTGCCACAATTCCTCTTATGAAACATTACAGTCACAACCTTAAATCAAGTTGGATGTTTTTTTATTTGTTGTGTGAAATCTATTTAATGCTCTGCTGCCAGTTAATATCCAAATCAACTTTATTTCCTTTCAACAAATGTTGTGGTCGGCCGTATCTTCCTTTATTTTCTTCCTTTTTTAACTGGAGTTGGAGTATGAATAGTAAACTTTATATTGGGTCAAATGAGCTCTGGGAAATTTCAATCAATAAACACCACGTTCAGATACAGTAAATAGCGTAGTGCTGTTTCACAGAATTGATCACGGTTCCAGTCAACCGTGGCCAAAGTGACTCTGCTGAAAATTGCAACAGTGGAGAGTCTTAAAGCTGTTATATTTCTGAGACAGAGCTGACTGGCATCACCATCCCTGAGGGAAACCCCCAGCAAGATGTTCGGCAGTGTGGCCACCTGGGAACCTGTTCCAAAATTCTATCGATCCAAGAGACAATCTCTGCTTGTCGGATGAAAGTTCATTGCACTTCTCCATGTTTCCACATATTTCCTAAATAGAATCTTTGTTATCTCCACTCCCATTTGTTTGCTTCCTACATTGTTGAAGTTGACACCTTGTTACACAGTAAGTTGAAATCTACAGCAGTAACCATTGTATAAGTCCAATTTCATGCCTTCATCCTGCATATATTCTCTGATTTTTATATACCAAACCAAAACACTAAAAAGTTTAACACATTGTTTTTCTAACTATTTCCTACTAAAAAAATTCTTAACATTAAGCAATGGAACAAAAAGCCGCTTGTTGCTCCATGCATCATCCCTCTACAGTTGACTTCTACAATGGCTACAGGTCTGTAGGTGAGAACTTGAGAGGAACTGTGCACTGCTCCTTTAGAAATCAAGAGATGCTAATGCTACTGCTTAAAGAAAAAAAAAAGCAAACAATGGCACCTATAGGGAAAGTGACACCCAGTGGAAAGTGACATAATACGGAGGCAGTCGAACCTGAAGGTCTGCAGTCTCAGGCTGTGTGTACTTGTTTTGCCAAACACTCCCAAAAAATAGCAGGCTCACACTTCTGGGATGAAACAAACTAAAAAGAATAAAAAAACAAAGAGAAATGAAAGGTTTCATTCCAAAATACCGTATGTGTCTAGACTTTTTCTCAAAATAACATGATCATTTTTAAAATATTACTTTGTAAAAAGAAAAATATATACTCAAGATATAACATAAGATATGATTCATTAGTAAGAGTTACAATCATTCTTGCAGTTATCAGAACAGCTGACACATTTTTAAAAGACAAATATCTCATTCTGGAATGAAACTCTTCAAATATACAACAGATACTGTATGACACATACTGACGACCATAGAAAATGAAACACCTACAATATACTGTAGCATAGTAGCCATCTGAGCCTCTTGCATTAACTCCTACCCCCATGTCACACACTATTAAATAAGGCACACATTTACACATACAGTTAAAATTGGGCTAGTAATAATTCCTTTATTTACAACCAATAGCCACAAAGTTAATAATTATAATAACTGCAGTCCGTTCTAGGTTTTAAGTTCATTCTCATAATGCCAGATGGCATGGCATTTTAAACTTCTGCTTTGGGTCCAAAATATACAGTATTGTTTATTTCCATTTCAGCGGATGTTAGACCCACTAGATCTGTGGAGCACCAATCTCATAGAAACATTCTCGAGGAACTTAAATGGACCCGATTACATCACTTCTGACCGGACATCTGCTGGAAGGGGAAAAGAAAAGAGCTAGAAGACGAGAATAGCTGCTTAGTTGAAGTATTTCCTTTCTCTTGTCAACATGAACACATTTGGTTCAGTGTTTTTATCCAACTGACAATGAGTTGTTTTGATGAAGTGCATGATTTGATGTCCCCAACATATTTCTTAGGAGGTGGTGGTGGTGGGGGGGGGTTGTTTGATATGCCCAAAGATGAAAGAGTATAGTAAGGCAAAGACATAACTACTTTCAGGGGAATTTGTTGACTTTTCACCACAGGTTACATATACTGCATATGTATATGTATACATATACGGTGTGGATATAAACACACATATATATACACACACATGCATAATATAAACACATTCGAGGGTGGGGGTGGGGGGGACTGGTTACCAACACTACATCAGAAAAGGTTAAGCAAAAGCATGAATCTAAGCATTGCAGGAGCCTCCGGCATTTAAATCTTCAAGATGACTGATGTGTTAAGTTTTTCCAACATCAACGTGTCCAAAAACTAAGTTGCATTGTAAATCCACACTGAGGACATTGGCAGCCTAATATAAGGAGGTGCTTCACGTCACCCGAGACAGCAGTTCTATTATAAGCAAGTAGCTGAGCAATACCAATATGGTACAAAGATATTCGTTGGACAAAAACAAGAGGGGAAAAAACAAGTTTGGTTGAGGCTTTCGTCCACAGTGACACTCGCTGTCACGTTATTGGTTGTGTTTTCTTGTGAAGGTCTGCAACCTCAAACCCACTGCATTTCTTCAAAGGGAAGTTCCTTTTAGAAGACACAATGAGGGAGACTTCCTCTCTAGTTCAGGAGTGTACCTCCTCAGTAGTTGAACTTTCCCTGTTGATTGACTGGGGATGTGGCAGGTATGAACAAGGGCTTGGGAGGGACGTCGGGTTTGAGAGAGGAGGCCCTGCGGACAATGGCTCCCCTGTGGGGGATCTCCTGCTGCTCGCCATTGTAGCTGTGTTGGCGTGTTAGGTACCCATTAGGGATGAGGGGGTAGTGAACTTCACAGGCGCTGCCCGTTGAATTCATTCGCGCCAGGAGGGGAGGCGGCTGGTGAGGCAGACCATTTCGTTGGCTGAAGCTGTGCTGGCGAGGGATCATGCCGCCTCCTCCTCCACCTCCATTAGGCATCTTGGTGGCTGCAGCAATCAGTGAGTGCCTCTGGGAGGAGTGCCTCCTCTCCAGGGTGGACTGGTGGTGCGGGGGAATGTCTGGAGGAACATCCATGCGTCGGGTGAGGCTGTCTCGGGGCAAAGTGGATGAGCTGTAGTAGGGGGCTGATTCTGTCTCAGGAATCTGAGGTTGGATGCGGTTGGCAAATGCTAGCTGACCTCCACCACCGCTGGCCATCAGACCTGTCGGGCTCATTAACTGGGAGTTCTTGCTGCTGCTTGCATCGTGAATGTGCTTCAAGAGCTCATCCAGCGAGGTTACCTCCATCACCTTCTGGGAATAACCGGGGTAGGGTTGCTGAGATAGCACACGTTCAACATTGTGGATTTTGCGTTCTTCTGGATGGAGGTGACCAACTAGTGGCTGCCCATTGGGTAGGCCATGGGAGTATGGGAAGACCTGCTGGTGAAGCAGAGCTGAGCTGGGTCTGGAGCCAATGTTATGGGATTTTGGTTCCTTGGCATTGTTGCAATTCTGGTTCTTTTCCCACTGGTTTTTGAATGCTTTCATGCTCTTGATGGGCAGTTCTGGGGTCGAGTCTGGTGTAGGAAGACCAGACAACTCTGAGGAATGGTGAAGGTGGTGATGGGGGTGAACCAGGTCTCCCATTGTCATTCCATGATGGCCGTTTCTTCTTGGTTGGTGATGCTCCTTGCTGCTGGCGAAGAAAGAGTTGTACATCTTCGGAGACACCTCCAGCTTATCGTCCTTACTCTGGCTGTCCAGGAGGCCATTAAGCTTGGCTAGGCTGCGGAGAGACAAGGCGTGCGGAATCGGGGCCTCAGGATCTTTCGACAACTTCTTGGTTTTGTGGCCCGTGTGGTTACAGTAGCAGGAGACCAGGAAGCCAGAGAGGAAAGCGCCAAGGACAAAGGCCACCAAAACACAAGCAATCAGGAGAGTATAGTGAACACTGTGATTGGTCTTCTCCAGCTCTGGTGGCCGCCTTACACCTTCAAAACAGAAAAAGATAGGGAAAAGGATAATTCCGTTAGCTTTTCTGACTGAGACAGAAGGGGCAAAAAATAACACATTTTCAAGAGCTAATATAGGTCAAGCAGCTGGGAGAGACAGGTTGTGTTTACAGGGGCTTCACTATGTGGGTAACAGCATGGGAGAGGGGTTTGAACTAAGCTCTTGGCTTCCTTTCCTTCCACTGTTAATGGATCAATACAGTCTTTCTTTCTAGGACCTGTGCTTTCCCCTCAGATTGGCAGAGGCCAAGAGCTCCCCAGTCAGTGAGAAATCAACTCTGAAATGAGTTAGAGTTTTAAATATTGATGGGAACACAGCAGCAGGAACCTGATGTCATTTTCACAGACTATGCTTTCCAATGCGAGGATCAGAGGCGAGAGCACCTGGTATCATGAACGAGCCAAAAATAACAGCTCTATCCAATAGCTCACCGAGCGTGGTGCCTTTGCCAACACAGACTCAAATGAGGTTGTCACATTCTTTCAAAATGAAGCCAAGGGGACAGTCTGTGCAGCAGTGCACCAAAAACACAAGGTTACTAAGCTGAGCTAAATCTACCATGTTAATGTCCTTGGGTGATGTGACCCCAGCACTGTGTTTGCCTAATGGCGTGAAAGACAACGGCAATAAAAAGGAGTGAAACCTGCCACCCCTCATAATCAGAGCTCATTTGCAAGAGGCTGCTGCCATCTGTGGTGTCAGACCCTTCTCTCTGCCCTTAATGACAGTTTCTGTGAAACTGATTAGTCTGCAAAGGGGGACGGCTGAGCTGCACTGAGGAGGGGAGAAATGCAGGTGTTCTAAAAAAGCTAAATTCAACAGCTAATGAAAGCTTCGCTGAAGAATGAAAACGGAAAATTATGTCGGCATCAGCCTTGATGATAGTTTATGAGATGTTCAGAGTGATGATGAGGATGATGATTGGTGGATGAGCATAAAGGGTGATCAGTTGAATAATTAGATATGCATTTGAGATCATTTTAATCTTTTCTCTGAATTAAGTGACCCAGACTTGACAGAATGAAGGCTCTAATGAAGGAAGAAATTCACAGAAATTCCTACCTGAATAAGTTATGATGTGGGCGATACAGAAATCAGGGTTTAATGTATAATTTTATATTGCAGTATTGATGATCTTGTAAATTTTCCTGAAACTCAATTGAGGTACTGATTACAGTTAAAATAACCAAATGGGACTGTGTCGTTGGCTAGGCCAGTTAACTGGTAAAATCAAGGTATTTAACCACACTGACTCAAAAACTGAAAAAAAAAGTGATTTTCAATATTTTTTTCAAAGGCCTCATACAACCACACAGTTTTCAGGGGGAGCTATTGGTAGAAAGCATATAGAAATCTCCCTACTGATTAAACAATATTCATTGCTTTATGATATGTAGCAATGTGGAGGAGTTATGTGATGAAGCCATGAACCTGAATCCTCCAAAACTTCATCGTCGTCATTTTAAAACTAACATTTTCAAAGGATTTAATTTTGGTGTAATGAAGGGTGTGAATAAAACCTCCTACATGATCTCCTGAGGACAGTGAGTCTAGGGTGAACATTATTAAAAGGTAATGAGTTTGTGTGTGTATTTGATTAGAGGCAAATATTAGGAGATACCACAGAGGTGGAAAATCTGACCAGACTTACTAGATTTTAGTCAAATCTCATCACAAATCCACAAGAGACAAAAACACAAGTGAGTGAAGTCTAAACTCATTTCTTAAACCTTTAAAAAGGCATGACACCATGGTTATTACACAATGCATGATATGAAAAGACAAGTCATTTACCTCCTGTCATTACAGCTTTAATTTGACAGAATCTTATTAGAAACCAGATTGGATAGGGTAAATTTTGAATCAAACAAGGTTTATCTCACATAGTGACTATATGTACACAGTTTCTGGCCAACAGTTTTAATAAGAGTTCATTATTTAGGTCATGAAGTTACAGTGAAACCTGGCCAGGTCTTTTTGCTGGTGATTATCTGGAGGTAAGACTTTCACTACATTCGTGTATCACTACATTCATTTTCCAGTGGTGCTTTGCTACCATTTTCCCTCCGGAGAGATACTGTGGTGCACTATAATCTTTCTGGAAGTAACACTTTCAATAGAGCTTCCAATTAAAAATGCTCAATTTTTAGCCATTTATTCTGATGATTGCCTTGACTTATGACCACATTAAAAAGTCATAAATCATAATTGCGTCCCAGTGGGAGAAGCAATCACAAGTGAGTCTGTTAATACCTCTTCTTTTAATCTTGGAGCATTTTTTTTTTTGGTCTCACTACACAAGCCGCCAATCAGCTGTGCAGCATCATTGTGGGTCCAAATTTGTGGTTCTAACTAATCAGTGTCCCGACGGTGGCGGCGACGTGCAGTTTTTGTAATGAACGGTGAAAGGCTCTCACCTCAGTGTGCTTTCTACCTCCTGTCTCCCCTGTGGCTTCCTGGTACCTGTGAATCATACGCTCCCTCTGGACTGCGACACCCCCCTCCCTGGCTGTGGCCACAGGCCTATTGATGGGCCCCTCCTGGTTGAGGGGTATGAGTCAAGTGCCACGACAGGGGGTAAAACGCGCAGCTGAGATAAACAAATCCAGAGCCTATGAACGCCCTGTCACAACATGTTTCATGAGCAGGCCGGATGACTCAATCACTGGATATGTGGGACATATGGTGCCACTGGTCACAGTGAAATTAATACCCTGTGAATCATACCAGCAACCTGGCAAGCAGCTACATGGCACACAGGAGGTGCTGGCCAACTGTACACAGCGACTTGGCTTTCTTTGCACTGCCTCACGAGCGTCTGGAAACTAAAGAATGAGGATTGAAACTCTGTTTATAGGGGCAAATCGTCACCTTAAGTAGAAGCAGTAATTAATGCCGCTTTATGCTTGACTCAAAACTTCGCTTCAATGTTTACATTGCTTCAGAGTCAGTGTTCCTATCTAACATTGTCACATTATATATTTCTGTGTCAATTCAACATCGTCTGGCGCTCAGAGAAGGCTTAATATAGAGATACCAAAGTCTGCCAAAAGGTAAAAAGACTGATGGGCTAAGTGAGTGGAGGCAAGGCAAGAGAGGGATGGTGACAGCCAGGGGGAAAAAAAGAAGAGAAGAAGAGGAAAATGAAGGGATGACAAACTGGTGATGAAGAAGGTAGTGAATGTGAGAGGACTCAAAGATCCCAGAGACAGGGGAGCAAGAGCAAAGGAAAAGAGCAGAGATGAAAGCCAGAGAGCTAAAAAAACGAGTGGATGTATGTGTGAGGAGCAGATTTGAAGGAGTAGGAGGATCGGGAAGAGAGTCAGAGCGAGAGACGGATAGACGTGATGGGGTGAGTGACAGACCGTCACTCTGCTGGGTTTTGAAGCCTGGTGCTCTGCGGCAGCTGTGATATGGTTGGAGAACAACCCTTGCGCTCCTCTGTAACGCCGTAGGAAGAGAAGGGCTCTGTGACTGCATCCATATTGTTAAAAATAAACAGCACGATAGGTTATGTAAACAGGCAAGTTTTACACAGTGTTGTCTGTGCCGCGTCTTACTAATTGGCGATATTTTTTTGCATAAGGAAAATAAAGCAAGGAAGGCTGTTACATGTGAAGTGGTTTTTTTTCCTGCAGGTGATAAAGTCGAGTCTAAAAACAAATTACAATGGAAGTGACAATTTCTCTACAGCATGTGAGTGATTAAATAAATGGCTGCTGTCTTTGAAAGCTCCAGCAGACATCTTAAATTGACTTCATTAACAATACAGCACCCATAAGATTTTCTATGTCACCAATTACTGATAATCTGAGCACTTTGAAGTATCATACTTGCTCAAATGTGAAAGAACTCTTTTTCGCATCTCTTGCAGGACAATAAAGCATCAGAACGCCACAAAACTGCAATTTAAAATATTGCTAAGAAGGAACACTTACTTTTATTTAAGACAACACTTTCAAGGTCAGATATGAAATCATTTAAACAAAGAACGTTTCCTTTTGCACATAACTTTTCCATTGTATCAGGCTTTTCTCAAGGGTGCATTTAAATACTTTGTAACCTGGAGAACAACTTGTGTTCTATTTTTGCGCATCAAGTGAAGTCATTCCAAAATAGCCCTAATTAGTTTCTGCTTCTGCAAGCTTACAAGTGCATGTAATTGTTCCCTTAATGGCGACTTCATCCCAATGAGAAGCCAACGAGAAAAAATGGCCGCAGGCAGCCCCCCCCCCCCCCCCCTACTGGAGATTTATTTCTTCCACACTAAAAACTAAAAATAACAATTTAACTCCTGAAAGGCACCCTGAGGTTGGAGATTGGAACAAATTAATTATTTCCCTTTTTCAAATCCGACTGAAAAGCATAGCAGCTCTAGCTTTAGTAATTTGACAGTTTTAATACCTGACGTGCACTGACAGACATGGTTAGCAAACTGAGCATGATCATGTGTCAGTATGCGCGCGCACACACACACGCACGCACACACACACACGGTATATGTGCTGTATGTGTGCAGGGTTCTGGCTGTTGACTGAGTGAATTCAATCATGTACACTTGTTATTAGGAATTTGCATAATATTTCACCTCAGTGCTCAGCCAATTGGATGCGGTTTATATATGCACACGAGCTAAGGTGATATGGTGTAATGTAACAGATCCATTCCAATTGAAAAGTAGTGGTAATGAGCACTGCATTTCATTCCAGGTGTGCTGATGCATAGAGAGCATAAATTTCATTACTGTTTTGATTGAATACTGGTAAATTGGGCGTGCGGTGGCATCTGGCAATCAGAACCATGCTGTCTGTATAAAGTCTTTCAATATTTACACCTGTGCTTTGAAGGGAAAGTCAAGTTTTTAAGAAGCAGTACACATTTTGTGTTTTCAGCACGCAACCATAGTTGTTGGTTAAAAGGGCTGGTTCATTCAAATTACAAAAAAACCCCAAGATTTTACACTTCTCACATCTCAGCC